GGAAACTATATTCAATATCTTGTAATAATCTGTGATGGAAAAGAATCTGAAAAAAATATATATATATATAAAACTGAATTACTTTGCTGTACCCCTGAAATTAACACAACATTGTAAATTAACTATACTACAATGGTTAAAAATGGTTTAAAGAAAGATTCAATGATGGAACACAAGGGATTCAGAACATTAGCAAGGATTTTGGATTTGGGGGGCACTACCTACGAGATGTTGGATACTGAATCAAAATCCTTTCCACAGTGGGAGTTGATTATATACTCACAGATAAAAAAAAAAAACTGTATCTGCTTGATAATGGGAAGTGTAGTCGTTCCACAAATGGTTAAGTATTGAGAAGGAACTTCTCTCATTTCATAACAAGTTCAATTGTTTTTAAGAATTTCCACAAGATCCTAAAAGTGATAACTTAATGTCAATAATTTTACTAAACTGCTCAGAAAGAAAACATCGTCAACATTTACACAAAGTTTTTGGTAAAGCTATTTGTGAATTCCATGAATATTATTGAGTGACTGTTTCACATCAAGTCTTACGCTAAGACCGGGAATATAGTGGTGAATAAGATAGACAAGGTCCTTGCCCGCATGGAGGTGACATTCTAATGAACAGAGACAGATGATAAACAGGTAAGCAAGAAACAAAATAGTTTTAGATCTAATACATGCTATGAAGAAAGTAAACATGGTGACAGAGGGAGTGAAAAGGATAAGCAAACAGCTGAGAACAAAGAGCGAAGAGCTTTCCAGGCAAAAGAAATTGCAAGTGTAAATGCAGTCAGGCAAGAAAATACGTGGGTGTATTTAATAAACAGGAAGGAGGCTGGTGTGGATGGTGCAGAGTAAGATGGTGTGGTGGAAGGTGAGCTAGGGGGTAGGTAAGTGCCAGACCATATAAGGCATCGTAGGCTGCATGAGGAGTTTACGTGTTATTCTTGGTGCCAGGGGAAGCCATTGGAGAGTTTTACATAGGAGAGTGAAATTATTTTTATTTTCGAAAAGGTCACTCTGCTGTGAAAAGTATAGGACAGAATGAGAAGCCAAAGTTTCCAGGCCCCTTGGAAAGCTATTGAGGTAATACAGGTGAGAAATGAAGGCAGTTGAAGCAGGTGCACTTGAGAAAAGACAGGATTTGATGACAGATTGCCTGGTATGGGTATCAGCAAGGGAGCAATCAAGAACTATTTAGGGGTATTCCCTGGTGGCACAGTGGTTGGGAGTCCGCCTGCCAATGCAGGGGACGCGGATTTGTGCCCCGGTCCGAGGGGATCCTGTGTGCCGCGGAGCGGCTGGGCCCGTGAGCCGTGGCCGCTGGGCCTGCGCATCTGGAGCCTGTGCTCCACGGCGGGAGAGGCCCGCGTAAGGCAAAAAAGAAAAGAACTATTTAGGTTTTTGGTTTGCAGCTAGGTAGATCATGCTGTCATTTTATGAGATGAGGAATGCAGAGTTAGTCAGGGTGAGTGAGAGTTCCATATTAGAAATATTAATTTTGAAATGCCTGTTATGTACCCAAGTGAAGATGTGAAGCTGGCCGTTGCACGGATGTACTAATGCTTAGCACACAAAGTCAGAGCAGGAGCTCTTCATTTTGCAGTTGTTCCTGTATAAATGGATGTCTGTAGAGAAGAAAAGGCCTCGGGCACTCCAGGAAGAGAGATTAGGCAGAAGAGGAGGCCCCAGCCAAGAAAACCAAGATGGAGCAGCCAGTGAGATAGGAGAGAAACCAGGGAAATATGGGATCCTATAAGCCAAGGGAGGTGGGTGTTTTGGAAAGTATGGAGTGGACCACTGTGACCCATGCGGCTGAGAGACTGAGTGAAATAAGAACAAAGAAGTGAAGTGACCTTTGGATGTGGCAACATTCCAGGCTGTAGTAACCTTGATTAAAGCAGCTTCACTGGCATGGGGTGAGGGCAGTGGGCTGGGGAAACAGCATGGGTACTGGAATGGGAGCTTAGCATTACAGGCAGTTAAGTTTGATGGTGGTTGTCTTTTTGCAGTGTTTTCCCCCCCTCAACCGATATTCCTCTCCACCTCAGGAACTCCCTGACTCCTAATTTTAAGCCCATCCTTCATTGCCCAAACCCCATTCCCTCCTTTAAAAGCTGACTTCTTACCTCTCCTGGAAGACTGGAGCTTGATTACCCCCAAAAGCCATGCTAGACACTTGAGTACAAGAGGCTCATTTACCTCGCCAGTGGTGGGAGAAGTGGGAAGACAGGTTCAGTAATAGCCTGGCTATTGGTCAATGACTTCAGATACAAAGAGGTTAATTTTTTTAAATTACGGTAATAAACTTTAGTTTTTAAGAGCAGTTTTAGGATCACAGCGAAACTGATCAGAAAGTAGAGTTCCCATATACCCCCTCTCCACACATACCTCCCTCACTATTGATGTCCTACGCCATAGTGTAGGACACTATGCTATAATATAATGTAGGTACATTTGTTACAATCCATGAACCTGTATTGACACATCATCAGTCACCTGAAGCCCATAGTTTACATTAGGGTTCACTCTTGGTGTTGTACATACTATGGCTTTTGACAATTATGTAATGACACGTATCCACCTTATACTATTAATATCATACGGAATACTTTCACTGCCCTAAAAGTCCTCTCTGCTCTGCCTATTCATCCATCCATCCCCACTAACCCCTGACGTCTATACTGTCTCCATAGTTTTGCCTTTTTCAGAATGTCATACAGTTGGAATCACACAGGGTGTAGCTTTTCAGATTGGCTTCTTTCACTTAGTAATATGCATTTCAGCTTCCTTCATATCTTTTCATGACTTGATAACTCATTTCTGTTTACCACTGAATGACATTCCATTGTCTGGATGTACCACAGTTTTTTTATCCATTCACCTACTGAAGGACATCTTGGTTGCTTGGGCAATTTTGAATAATGGTGCCATAAACATCCTTGTTCAGGTTTTGTGTTTAACTCATTTGAATAGATACAAAGGAATTTGATTGCTGGATCATATGGTAAGTGGCTTTCAAAGTGGCTGTACCATTTTGCATTCCCACCAGCAATAAATGAGAGTTCCTGTTGCTCTACATCCTCGCCAATATTTGGTGCTGTCAATATTTTGGACTTTTGCCACTCTAATAAGCGTATAGTGGTATCTTGTTGTTGTTTTAATTTGCATTTCCCGATGATATATGATGCATATAAGCATCTTTTCATATGTTTATTTGCCATCTGCATGTTTTCTTCAGTGAGGTGTCTATTTAGACCTTTTGCCCACTTTTAAACTGGGCTGTTTCTTTCCTTACTGTTGAGTTTTAAGAGTTGTTTGTATTGTAGGGGATTGGCATATGGCAATCCAAAATATACCACTTTGGCATAAAGATTATTTTTAGCCTAAGGCAATTAAGAAGAAGCAGACATATGAAAAAATCCCTTGCCCTCCACCTCTCTACCAAGAAAGGCAGGATGATTCCTAATCACCAGAGACAACTGGAGACTCTTACCAGTTCAGAGACACTGAGAGGAATCTGCATAACAAGCATTACTAGAAACAACTCTTATCTTCCAGTAGTTTCTCCCATAGATTTACTTTTTCACTGTTTGCCACCCCTAAAAGCCTTAGCCCCTTTTTCTTTGTCTTGTCACTTCTCCACAAATTTATTGTTCTTTATTGAGATGCTAGACAAGCTCCAGATTCTAACCACCCCTTTGAGTTACTCATCACTGAGGTGTCTCCCCTGTGTAAGCATGACACACATTAATAAAGTGCTCATTTTTTATTGTTAATCTGGCTTTCATCGGTTTAATTTCTAGGGTCCCAGGCACAGAACCTAGGAGGGTAGAGGAAAAAGAGGTTTTATTCCTACCCTACAGTTTATTTTGGATAACAGTCCTTTGTCAGATATGTTTTTCACAACTATTTTCTCCCAGTCTATGGCTTGTCTTCTAATTCTCTTGACAGTGTCTTTCACAGAGCAGAAGTTTTTAATTTAATAAAGTATGGCTTGTCAATTTTTTTCTTTCATGGATTGTGTCCTTAGCGTTGTATCTGAAAAGTCATCGCCATACCCAAGTTCATCTAGGTTTTCTCCTATGTTCTCTTCTAGGAGTTTTAGAGTTTTGCATTTTATGTTTAAGTCTGTAATTTATTTTGAGTTAAATTGTTTGCGAAAAGGGTGTAAGGTCTCTGTGTAGATTTATTTTTTGCACATGGATATCTTAGCTTAACATTTTAAAAATAGATGGTTTTTCTTGATTATAAAGTACATGCTCATTGTAGAAATTTCCTAAAAGACAGGCAAATATAAAGAAGACAATTGAAATCATGACTGTTAACACCTTGATGAATTACTGATTAGTCCTTTTCAGCAGGCATTTCAACATTCTTCACTGTGCTTCTTTCGTTTTGACATTATAACGTGACCACTTTCCTTAGGTAATTAAAAACTCTTTGTAAGTAGCATTTTAATAGATGTAGTTTGCCTAGGTAGATCAGGTATTATCATTTACTTAATTTTCCTATTGTTGGCGTTTTTATTTCTAGCTTTTATCATAATGCTGTGATGAACATCTTTGTATGGAAAGCTTTTCTCCCCCTCCCCCTCTGTTTCAAGTTCTTTCCTTAGGATAGAGACCTATCAGTAGATTTATGGAATCAGAGTGTGAAAAAAATAATATTAGGGCTCTTAATGCATAATGTCAAATTGCTTTCTAGGAATCTTGTACCAGTTTACAATCCCATTAGTGCCTATCTCCACTAAATTCATACCACTATTAAACACTGTCTTTTAAAAACCTTTCCTAATTTGATAGGTGAAAAATCATATCCCATTGCTGTAATTGACATTTCATTGATTACTAATGAGGTTGAACAAATGTTACTCAAATATTCATTTGTTAGCCATTTGTGGTAAATTTTATTTATAAATTATATGTTTATGAACTTGCTAATTTAAGCCACTATTTTACCCAAGTTGCATGATGTTTGTTGGTTTGCTTTTAGGAAAACTGGAACAGCTTACATAAGAAAGATATTGCAACATAACACTCCTAAAGGATTTTTGTCATCAGTTCTTGCGGAAATTATAGACCCTTTTGGAATAGAGGAAGTGCATGAAAGCTCTTGTTTGTCTAGTTCCCTTTCCATTAATCAAGCTGGAAATTTCTCCTATAAGCTTAGTCTTCAATTACAAAGTAAGTGTAGTAATATATCTCTCTGATGGCTGGGGAAAATGAGAAATTATCTTTTGGGAAAAGTGTTAATGCTCTTTTATAGAACAATAGATTTCAAAATTTAGTCCAATTGGTAATCTACAGAAGTCTACATATACTTAGATCCCTGGAGGAATTCTTTATTTCTAATATAATGAAACCTAGCTATCACTTCATTGTTATTTCATCAATAGTAACACCTATCATTTATTTCTATAATATGATGTTATTTTGTCTTTAACAGTGCTCAGGAACAGTGAGAAAAGTCAAGAAGTCCAGACTTTACCCTACATAATGAAATAATTTTGAATCACTTTCATGTAGCATATTTCTATTTCAAAGGATTATATGATAGATACATAGCAAAAGTTAGTATAGTTTGTTATAAGGATTTGGGTTTTATTCTGAGTAAATGGCAAGGCTTTGGAGTGTTTTGAGCAGAAAGTGACATGATTGAACTAGCTGCTCTGTTGAGAACAGACTGGGCGTGTGACAGAGAGAGGGCAATAAGGAAAGCAGAGAAATCAGTTAAGAGGCTATTGCAATAATCAGGTGAGAGATCCTATTAAATGTAAGATGTCTGTTACTCATCCAAGTGGAGAAATAAGGTCGATATATAGAAAGACAAGTCTGGAGTTCAGGAAAGACCTCTGGACTGGAGAAATACATTTGAGCAGTCAGAAGGAGAAGAGAGAGAGAAAGGAGCAGAAAAATTATTTGAACAAACAATGGCTGAAAACTTCTGTAACCTGGGGAAAGAAACAGACATCCAAATCCAGGAAGCCTACAGAGTTCCAAATAAGATGAACTCAGGAAGACCCACACCAAGACACATTATAATTAAAGTGTCAAAAGTTAAAGACAAGAAGAGAATCTTAAAAGTGGCAAGAGAAAAATAACTCGTTACCCAGTAGAACCCCCCCCATAAGACTATCAGCAGATTTTTCAACTGAAACTTTGCACATCAGAAGGGAATGACATGATATAGTCAAGGTGCTGAAAGAAAAAAATTGCCAACCAAGTATATCTATCTACCAGCCACGTTGTCATGGAGAATTGAAGGAGAGATAAAGAGTTTTCCAGACAAGCAAAAACCAAATGAGTTCATCATCCTAGACTGGCTTTACATGAAATGTTACAGGAATTTCTTTAAGGTGAAACAAAAGAGACCTAATCAGTAATAGGAAAATGTGTGAAAGTATAAATTTCACTGGTAAAGGCAAATATATAGTAAAATTTAGAATAATCTTATGTTGTAAATGTGGTAGTTAATCACTTATAAAGCTAGAATGAAAGTTAAAGACAAAGGTAGTAAAAAAACTAACTACAATGATTAGTTAATGGATATACAAGATAAAAATATGTAAATTGTGATATCAAAAACATAAATTGGGGGGGATAGAAATGTAGAGCCCTAGAATGCATTCAAACTTAAGTTGTTATCAACTTAAAATAGACTATTATAAATATAAGTTGTTTTATGTAAGCCCAGTGGTAACCACAAAGCAAAAACCTATAGTAGATACACAAAAGAAATAGGAATCTAAGCCACTACAGATAACCAGAGAAAATCATCAAATCACAAAGAAAGAGAGCAAAAGAAGAAAGGAACAGAGAAAGTATAAAACACCTAGGAAACAATTAACAAACTGCCAATAAATACATACCTATCCACCTTAATACATAAGGTGGTATGTATTCGGCCTTAACATGTTAACATATACATTCTTTTGTGCAGGTATGTACACATACCTTCACCTTCCCTGGTGGTGCAGTGGATAAGACTCTGTGCTCCCGATGCAGGGGGCCCAGGTTCGATCCCTGGCCAGGAAACTAGATCCCACATGCATGCTGCAACTACGAGTTCGCATGCCACAAGAAAGGAGCCCCCATGCCACATCTAAGGAGCTGGTGAGCCACAACTAAGGAACCCTGGAGCTGCAACTAAGACTCAGTGCAACCAAATAAATAAATATTTTAAAAAAAGGCAATAAAAATTGTTGAGGAGGATGTGTAGAAAAGGGAATCCTTGTACACTGTTGGTGGGAATGTAAATTGGTGCAGTCGCTATGGAAGACAACGTAAAGGTTCCTCAAAAAATTAAAAATAGAACTACCATATGATCAATCAATTCCACATCTGAGTATTTATCCACAGAAAATGAGCATGCTAATGTGAAAAGATATATACTCCCCCTTGTTCATTGCAGCATTATTTACATTAGCCAAGATATAGAAGCAACCTGTGTCCATTGATAGATGAATGGATAAAGAAAATTGGGGGCTTCCCTGGTGGCGCAGTGGTTGAGAGTCCACCTGCCAATGCAGGGGACACGGGTTCATGCCCCGTTCCAGGAAGAACCCACATGCCACGGAGCGGCTAGGCCCGTGAGCCATGGCTGCTGAGCCTGCGCGTCCAGAGCCTGTGCTCTGCAACGGGAGAGGCCACAACAGTGAGAGGCCTGCGTACCGCAAAAAAAAAAAAAAAAAAAAAGATAAAGAAAAATAGGTGTGTTCATATATATATATATATATATATATATATATATATATACTTTAATATATATACTAAAATATTATTCAACCATAAAAAAGGAGGAAATCTTGCCATTTGCAACAACATGGATGAATTTTGAGGGCATTACTGTGAGGTAAGTCAGACAGAGAAAGACAAATACTGTATGACGTCACTTATATGTGAAATCTAAAAACAAGCAAACAACAAATAAACTCAGAATAGATAGGTAGTTGCCAGAGGTGGGGGTTCCGTGCAGGGATCAAAAGATATAAACTTGTAATTATGAAATAAATAAGTCATAGGAATGTAATGTAAAACATGGTGACTATAGCTAATACTGCATTGTATACTTAAAAGTTGTTAAGAGGGTAGATCTTAAAAGTTTTTCTCACGAGAAAAAAAGTTGTAACTATGTGTGGTGATGGATGTTAGCTAGATTTTTGTGGTTATTATTTTGCAATATATACAAATATCGAATTGTGTTGTACACCTGAAACTAATGTTATATATCAATTATATCTCAAAAAGGGGGGGGGAATCAAGTGGTCAGCATATATGATAGTTAATGCTATGAGATCAGATGAGATCACTGGGAAAGCTAGTGTAGGTATAGAAACGAAAAAGTCTGAGGTCCAACAGTTAGTGGTCAGAGAACAGGAAGACCAGATGGTCTACTAGGAAAAGAACTAAGAGAGAGCATGTCTCAGAAACCAAGTGAAGAAGGTACTTCAAGAAGGAGGGAATGATGCTGTGCTACATGCTGCCAAGAGGTGAGGTAAGATGAAGAGAGAAAAGTGCCCAATGGATCTGTGTCAAGTCATCGGTAACCTTGATAAAAGCTATTGTTGGTTGGAGTCATGTAGACAAAAGTCTGATTGGGTTAGGTTTATAAACTTCTGAGAGGCAAGGAATTGAAGATAGTGAATAAAGGCAGCCCTTTCAGGGAATTTCACAATGAAGGGGAGGAGAGAAGTGATGTGGTAGCTGGAGGGAATGTAGGAAAGGATTTTTGTTGGTTTGTTGAAATGGGAAAAATTAGAGCACGTGTGCATAATAAAGGGAATTATGAGATTCTCTTCTGACTTCTTCTACTTATTTTTTCAGAACGAGGTGAGTATCATTGTTGACATGTTTCAAAAACATTTAAAAATGATGACGTCCCACTCCTTCAAACAGCCATCTTTTGGCTTCCCTCATATCCTCTCTGATGGATTTTCTCCAGTCATTTCTTCTTTGTCTCCTTTGTGGAGTTATTTTTTCCTTCCCATTTTTACATGATGGTGTTCCTTATGGTGCTGCCCTCAAGCCTCTTTTCTTCTAAATCTTCATGCTCTTCTTAAGCAATCAATTATTCATTTATTCAACAAATATTTATTGAGCATCTGCTATGTAATAGGCAGACCTTTAGGCCCTAGGGAAAACGCTAGCTACATTATCCTTCTCTTATAAAATCACAATAAAGACTCTGGGTTATTAAGGCTCTTACCAGTTCTATGGTAAAGAAATCAGATTTCTTATAATTACTTAGCCCTATGTGTTTTTTTTCTGCTGAGAATTTTATAGAACTAGTTTCACAGTAAAAACTGTGCTTGGCATATTTGCAATACACTTTCTACAAAATAATTTGAATTATAACCTGAAATCTGGCAAATGCGTCCTCTAGTTAAGACCATAATTTAAAAACTCAACTAGTGTATTCCTCAGTTATGTCCACCAGTATTACTTGGAGAACATTGGCTGTTTTATTTTATACCAAATCATTCCTGTTTTAGCTTCAGGTGTTACTTCCTCATTTCAAGATTCGGATATAGAAAAGACTGTGGTGATTCCCGGTTACAGCAGCTTCCTGATCACAAGGATTTTAGATAATGAGAATGCTTTGGCTATCGCTACCATGCCTAAAACAGTACCCCACAATATGACCTTTCTACAAGGCTCTTGGTTCTTATACAACTTTGGACAAAGGGATGGACGAACGTGGAACATACGTTCAAAACCATGTAATTACTGGTTTCAACAACATGATGATTCACTATCCCTCAATGTCCTGAAATACATTGATCTGGGAAAATCTCATACTTTAAAAATTAAAGTCATACCTAATACAAAAGGTAAGTTTATTTTTATTGGGAAATATCAAAAGGAAATGTTATTGCTTTTCTTGAATATAAAATATACTCTTTGATATTTCCTTTATCTTTGGTTTCTGTAGTAGGTGGCATTCTACCAATAACAGTATTAGCTCTAATTATTGAGCACTTATACAAAGCTCTGTATTAAATGATTTTTTTATTCATTTTAAAATTTAATGTTTATAACAACCCTAAAAGGCTAGATTATAATCCTTATTTTATAAATGCGCTTAAATTACCAGCCCAAATATACACAGGATTTTAGTTTAGATTTTTGCTGCCCTCTGAAAAGAAAACATTATAATTACCTTGGTGTTGTTATAATCATTTCAAGTATTTATTTTAAGCCAAAAAAAAAAAAAGACTTTTAAATAGAATTCTATACTTTGCTCCATTTTTCAAGATATTTATTTATTACAAAACTAATATAAAGCTTACTAAAAATGATGGGGAAATGGCATACTGGAAAGAAATAAAACAAAAAATTTTACTAAATCACTGAGCTAGAAATTGAGGGGAAAATATGGAAGGAAGGGGAAGGAAAAAAGAAAATCCTGTCACCAGAAATGAAAAGGGAACTCAAAAGTCGAAAAAATTAGCTAATATGTGGCTCCTGGAAGGTTTTGAGGCTCAGATATAGGCCATATAGGCAGTGGGATGAATTTTAATGCCCAAGCATTAGTAGAAGATGTAGACCTTTAGACATTTCTACCTTGTGGCAGGAAGTTGGAAATGAGAACATTAAGTAAAGCTGGAACCATCAAATTGTGAAGGGTGAAGAGAGGATAAGGAATATGCTACCCAACAACTCAAAGAAAGAGGTAGGGAGATTGTCATCTCCACGGGACTCAAAGAATTTCTTGTAAAAAACCCAAACTCCAAGACTGTGTAACACCTAGACACTACCCACCAAATACAAGAATCCCAAACTAAGACATCATTACAATGCCTGGGTCCCAGCATAAGGAAGCACAAAACCCTCTGTAGAAATACTTTCATAAAGAAAGTAACATGGAATTCCACAGAAAAAGCAATCTTCATGAACATAAATTGAGGGAAAGAATTTTAAAACCGTGTAAGGAAATGACCCAACGTAAGAGAAACTTAACAAGCATAGGAAACAAAGTTTTAATCTTGAGTTAATGGAAAAATCAGAAAGACACTATAAAAACAATTGTAAAGTATAAAATATGTAAAACTCTTAAAGAGATAAAAGAAAGCATATGAACCATAATGAAAGGACAAAACACTATTTAAAAAAAAAACAAGCTTATTTGAAAAACATAACCAAGTGCAATTTATAAAAATAAAAATTATAGGCTTTGAAAAAAATTGGAGACGTGTATTTCTATTTCCATCAGTATTGTGAACTAAATATTCTGAAAAAACTTTTTCCTGAAACCCTTAGAATCCTTTCTCTTTGATTATATGACTAATTGTCCATATTTCCTTCAAGTAATTTTAGGGTTTTAATTTTATGGCTTTAACTTTCCACCTAATTATTTAATTTATCTACATTTTGTTTTGGTGTATTACAGGTGGTTAGGTAGTTTTTCCAACATCACTTATTGAATAATGTATTTTTTCTTCACTGATTTTTAAAAACAATGCAATTTACCTATTATTTTGACCATTTCTGGGTTTTAAAAATTCTGTTCCTTTGTTATTTCTCTGTATTCCAGTACAAATCCCAAATGTTCTAACTATTGTAGCTTTAATTGTATTTAACAACTAATTTGTTATATTTTAAACTTGTTCAGTTTGAAGAAACAAATAATAATCAGCAAATCAACTCAGTTGCCTCTTTGAAGAAAAACCTAGTCCATGCTATTCAAGATGTGGTTCCTGGACCAGCTTCATTGGCATCACTTGGGTGCTTGTTAGAAATGCACAGTCTTTGGTGGTTGCAAACAAATTTTAGGGTTTTCTTTTGTATTTCTGTGAAAAATGCCAATGGAATTTTGATAGGAATTACAATCAATCTGTAGATTGCTTTAGGTGGTATGGACATTTTAACAATATTAATTCTTCCAATTCATGAACATGAGATGTCTTTCAGCTTATTTGTGTCATCTTCAGTTTCTTTCACTGGTGTCATAGTTTTCAGTGTACATGTCTTTCACCTCCTTGGTTAAATTTACTCCTAATATTTTGCTCTTATTGATGGTGCTATAAATGGGGTCATTTTCTTAATTTCTCTTTCAGCTAGTTCATTGCTAGTGTATAGAAACATAACTGATTTTTGTGCATTGATTTTTTATTCTGCAGCTTTGCTGAACCTTTTTATTCTAACAGTGTTTTGGTAGAGCCTTTAGGGTTTTCTAAATATAATATTCTGTCATCTGCAAACAGACACAATTTTACTTCTTCCCTTCTGATTTGGATGCCTTTTTTCTTTCTTAATTGCTCTGGGTAAGTTTTCCAGCACTGTGTTGAATAGAAGTGGTGAGGGGGAACATCCTTGTCTTGTTCTTCATCTTAGAGGAAAAGCTTTAAGCTTGAGTATGATAAGTATGAGTATGATGTTAGCTATGGACTTGTCACATATGGCCTATATTGTGTTGAAGTGCATTCCTTCTAAACCTAATTTGTTGAAAGTTTTATTCATGAATGGATGTTGACTTTTGTCAAATGGTTTTTCTATATCTGTTGAGATAATAATTTTTATCTTTCATTCTGTTAATGTGGTGTATGCACATTAAAGATCCTGAGTAGCCAAAGCAATGTTGACAAAGAACAAAGCTGGAGGAACCACACTTCTTAATTTAAAACTCTATTACAAAGCTATATTAACCAAAACATTATGGTAATGGCATAAAAACAGACGCATAAACCAATGGAACAGAATAGAGATCCCAGAAATAAACCCATGCATACACAGTCAACTAAGTTTTGACAAGGGAGCCAGTGGGGAAAGAATAGTCTCTTCAATAAATGGTGCTGGGAAAACTGGGCAGCCATGTGCAAAAGAATAAAACTGGACCCCTATCTTACACCACTCACAAAAATTAATTCAAAATGGATTAAAGACTTAAATGTAAGACTTGATACCATAAAAATCCTAGAAAAAAAAAAACATGAAGGAAAAGCCCCCTTGACATTGGTCTTGGCAATGATTTTTTTTGGATGTGACACCACAAGCAAAGGAAATAAAAGCAAAAGTAAACAAATGGGACTATATCAAACTAAAAAACTTTTGCACAGCAAAGGAAACAAAAAACAAAATGAAAAGGCAATCTTCAATAAGTGGTGCTGGGAAAACTGGACAGCTACATATAAAAGAATGAAATTAGGACACTCCCTAACACCATACACAAAAATAAACTCAAAATGGATTGAAGACCTAAATGTAAGGCCAGACACTATCAAACTCTTAGAGGAAAACATAGGCAGAACACTGTATGACATAAATCGCAGCAAGATCCTTTTTGACCCACCTCCTAGAGAAATGGGAATAAAAACAAAAATAAACAGATGGGACCTAATGAAACTTCAAAGCTTTTGCACAGCAAAGGAAACCATAAACAAGATGAAAAGACAACCCTCAGAATGGAAGAAAATATTTGCAAATGAAGCAACTGACAAAGGATTAATCTCCAAAATATACAAGCAGCTCATGCAGCTCAATATCAAAAAAAACAAACAACCCAATCCAAAAATGGGCAGAAGACCTAAACAGACATTTCTCCAAAGAAGATATACAGATTGACAACAAACACATGAAAGAATTCTCAACATCATTAATCATTAGGGAAATGCAAATCAAAACTACAGTGCGGTATCATCTCACATCAGTCAGAATGGCCATCATCAAAAAATCTACAAACAATAAATGCTGGAGAGGGTGTGGAGAAAAGGGAACCCTCATACACTGTTGGTGGGAATGTAAATTGATACAGCCACTATGGAGAACAGTATGGAGGTTCCTTAAAAATCTAAAAATAGAACTATCATACAACCCAGCAATCCCACGACTGGGCATATACCCTGAGAAAACCATATTCAAAAAGAGTCATGTACCACAATGTTCATTGCAGCTCTATTTACAATAGCCAGGACATGGAAGCAAACTAAGTGTCCATCGACAGATGAATGGATAAAGAAGATGTGGCACATATATACAATGGAATATTACTCAGCCATAAAAAGAAACGAAATTGAGTTATTTGTAGTGAGGTGGTTGGACCTAGAGTCTGTCATACAAAGTGAAGTAAGTCAGGAAGAGAAAAACAAATACCGTATGCTAACACATATATATGGAATCTAAAAAAAAAAAAAAATGGTCATGAAGGACCTAGGGGCAAGACGGGAATAAAGATGCACACCTACTAGAGAATGGACTTGAGGACACAGGGAGGGGGAAGGGTAAGCTGGGACAAAGTGAGAGAGTGGTAGTATATATATGGACATATAAACAGTACCAAATGTAAAATAGATAGCTAGTGGGAAGCAGTCGGTGCTTTGTGACCAGCTAGAAGGATAGGGAAGGTGGGAGGGAGGGAGATACAAGAGGGAAGAGATATGGTATATATGTATATGTATAACTGATTCACTTTGTTATAAAGCAGAAACTAACACACCACTGTAAAGCAATTATACTCCAATAAAAACGTTAAAAAAAAAGAAAAGGCAACATATAGATTGGGAGAAAATATTTGCAAACCATATATCTGATAAGGGGTTAATATCTATAATATAAAAGGAACTCATACAGCTCAGTAGCAAACAAACAAATAATCCAATTAAAAATGTGTAAGTGACCTGAATAGACATTTTCCCAAAGATATGCAAGTGGCCAACAGGTATATGGAAAGGTATTCAATATCACTAATCATCAGGGAAATGCAAATCAAAACTATAATGAGATATCACCTCACACTTGTTAGAATGGCTGTTATCAAAAAGACAAGAGATAGTTAAGTGCTGTTGAGGATGTGGAGTAAAGGGAACCCTTGTGCACTCTTGGTAGGAATATAAATTTGTTCAGTCACTGTGAAAAATAGTGTGGAAGTTTCTCAAAAATGTTAAAAATAGAGCTACCATATGATCTAGCAATCCCACTTCTGGGTATATATCAAAATCAGTATCTTGAAGAGGTATCTGTACTCCCACTTTCACTGCAGCATTACTCACAATAGCCCAGGTATGGAAACAACGTAAGGGTCCATCAACAGATGAATGGATAAAGAAATGTGGTATATACACACAAAGAAATACTATACAGCCATAAAAAAGAAGGATGAAGAACATGGATGAACCTGGAAGACATTATGCTGAGTGAAATTAGCCAGAGAAAGACAAGTAGTGTGTGATCTCACTCATATGTGGAATCTTAAAAAAAAAAAAAAAAAATTGTCTAACTCATAGAAATAGAGTGCCGGTTGCCAGGGGCTGGAGGATGGAGAAAATGGGCAGATGTTGGTCAAAGAGTACAAACTTCCAGTTATAAAATAAATGTCTTGGGGATATAATACATAGCACGATAACTATAGTTAATAATACTGTACTGTATAGTTGAAATTTGCTAAGAGAGTAGATCTTAAGTGTTCCCAACACACACACACACACACACACACACACACACACACACACACACACAATGTGAGGTGGTGGCTGTATTAATTGTAGTAATCATTTCACAATGTATAAGTACAACAAATCTCCACATTATACACTTTAAAAATATACAATTTTATTTGTCAGTATATCTCAATAACGGTATGAAGGGGACAGGATGTGGAATCTCAGCCCCCTCCTCAGAACTGTTAAGTCAGAATTGGCATTCTAACAAAATCCCCAGTTATAGCTTAGGAAGCACTGGCCAGATCACTTTGGTTTAAGGGAAACTGCTAGAGCTGAGACTTGAGGCAACTTATTTACTACTCAGCTCTGATTTACTAATTAGTAAAGATGGCAATTAGATTACATGGTCTTCCAAATCTCTCTTTCCATTAAATTTCTGAGTATGGAGAGGTTGCAAACAGGGGCCCTGAAGTCAGGAAATGGCCTAATGACGTATTGTGTTAAACGCCTAGGGTTTTTCTCTTGGCAGCAACTGATTGACAGCCCTTTAAATTGAGCGTGTATTCTCGGTTTCTCTACTGAGTTAGCCAACTCAGTGTGACCAAGACTATCCAAGTGACTGCCTTCGAGAATCTGGCTGAGGAATGAGGGGTGGAGGGGAGCAATATTTCTGTGAAAAAAATTAGGAGAAAATATTTGCAAAGTGAAATTTTTCTAAGAACTGTTAAAGTTAACTCTGTATAAATAGATTCTGTAGGTGTTCTAGAATTCTGATCACCCAGTCATTATGAAATTGCTTAAAATTTTCATGATTTCATGTTCACTCTTGGCTTTGTTTCCAAAGGTGTTCAAACACTTGAAATCCCACTACTGAAAGTAGTCGTTGGAAACCCAAATTTGTTGGATGTTAAAGTTGAAGGCCATTTTGATGACGCTGATAGTTATCGAATGGAAATTTCTGCAGCCAGCAAAACTTTACGTCAAGTAAGTTTTTCTTTAATTATTAAAAAATATCTATGGATTATAGAAAATTCAGAATATAAGCTAAGAAAAAGAAGGAAAAATTATGCATGATCCTACCTATCAAGGATGACTAAACACTTTTAACATTTGGGGAATTACGAAAAGGCTGTATGTCACAGAGATTTAAAAAGTGAGCTCTGGAAAAGACTACCTGAGTTAGTTTTCACTGCTGGTACTGTTTTTGTGAGCTTAGGAAAGTTACTTTACTCTAAGTTTCCTCATCTATAAAATGGAAGTGATACTAATAATACCTACCTCATAGGATTGTTTTGAGAATTAAATGTGATAATTCAGGTAGGCCATTCTAAAACAATGTCTGGCACATAGAAAATGCTCAATCACTATGAATTTACAGTATTTTCCTTTTTTCCCCCTAAAACTGGGAGAGCATTGTATATACAGTTTTAAAACTTTGCTCCTTCCACTTAATTATATAGTTTAATCCTTTTGTGTCAATAAATATTTTTCTGCAAATTCTACAATCTGTTTATCATGAAAATTTTCAGATATAGACAAAAGAAGAATTTCCATATACGTATTTCTCAAATTAGACAATAGTCAAGGTTTTGATACTTCTGTTTTATCATCTCTATTTAATTTTTTTTGGTTTATATTCTGACATACTTTTAAATGAATAGCAGACATCATGTCATTTCACTCCTATATGCTTCCATACATATCTCCAAAAAATATGTGTATCGTCTCTCACATAACAAGAATGCCATTATCATCCCTGAAATTTTTTAAACGAATTTTTTGTTGGTACCCTATAAAACCCAGTCCATAATCAAATTCCCGCAATTTTCTCAAAAAAAAAAAAAAATGTTTAGGGTTGGTTTGTTTGAATTGGGATCCAAACAAAAGTCACACAGTATGTGGTTATTTATTAATCTCTTAAGTTTCTTTTAGTTTAAGGTAGGTATGACTCCATTTTCTTCCCCTGCCATGGAATTGTAGCCATTGAGTCAGTTATGTTGTAGAATCTCCAGTATTCTAGATTTTTCTGTTTACTTCCTTATTTCTTATTGAACTAGTGCCACCCACCCCAAATTTCCTTTAATAGTAGAACCCTGCTTAGATTCTGGTTCAATGAGTTTTAGCAAAAATTCATTAAAAATAGATTATTTTTAATGGCTTTCAGAGTATAGAGATGGGGGCAAAACTACTAGAGTCTACTATATCAGTAAAATTATTAGTATTTTTCTACATTTTTTAATTTCAAGAAGTACTTAAAAATTTCAAACAGAATTTATCAAATTTTGTTGAATGTTTAATATCATGCAAGGTTCAAATATGGTTTTTGTACATAAATTTCTACTAAAAACATATCTTTGTGAAATACAGTGATTGCTAAGTGAGTATCTTCTTTTCAAAATGTATACCAATGGAAGTTATTTTACTCATATTATCCAAGCAAATGTCAATGCTCATCAATGAATGAGGGAAGCCTCGCCATTCTAAGTTGGATTTACATCCAACTACATCCAATAATAGTGTTTATTTAATAATAAACACTTGATCCTTGCTCATTTCCAAATGTCACCCACAGGCAATTAGATTGGAATGTATTTCTTCCTGGAAAAGAATATGTCTTCTGTTAAGATTTATCCTCAAACAGATCGTATGATCAAACTTATGATTCTATTTCCTATTATCATTCTTTTTCTATTTCTTTTCATTTTCATTTTCTGTATTCTTTACGTGGGTACTGTGCTAGTTTGCCAGGGCTGCCATAACAAAATACTATGGACTGAGTGGCTTAAACAACAGAAATTTATTTTCTCACATTTCCAGAGGCTAGAAGCCAAGATCAAGGCATTGGCAGGGTTGGTTTCTTCTAAGGCCTTTCTCCTTGGTCTGCAGATGGCTATCTTCTCCCTGTGTCTTCACATGGTCTTCCCTCTGTGTGTGTCTGTTTTCAAATTTCCTGTTGTTATATGACACTCACCATATTGGATTAGAGCCTACCCTAATGATCTCATCTTAACTTAATTGCCTCTTTAAAGGCCTTATCTCCAAATACAATCACATTCTGAGATACTGGAGGTTAGGACTTCAACATATGAAGCAGGCACAGTTCAGCCGATAACAGTTACTTTAAATAACCTTCACTTATTTGGATATTTCCAGGGTTCAACTTCACTGGCGTTTATTGTGTGGGGAGCATCGACTGAGTGTCTTGTTACAACATTCGTGCCAATGTTGAAAAGCAGCTGTAGTTATCTCAAGTCTATGCATCACATTCCTAGTGAAATTATCCCATTGGAAGACTGGATCAGTGGAGTTCACATGGACAGTCAGGGTTTTAATATGATCAAAGTTTTGCCAGTAAGAAACCTAAGCAGATTATTTGAAGGGTACCAGTGATAGATAACTTTTGTATGATCGGCTAGCCATTCGGTCTTAGCATTTCTTTCCTGAAATGCTCAAAACACCCCAGTTATTTTTCAATCCTCATGTCATTTTGAGGATATGATGACTAAAATGTGAAAACTTTCTGAAATAATGATTTTTCTTGGTAACTTAGTCTTATCATTATTAATATCACGTTTTATGCTATATTATGGTGGTATAATCTTGGGCTTTAACCATATATACAGTCATTTGCCCTTAAATTGACTCATTCTCATCCTGAGCTGATATATCTTACAGGTCCCATTTCAATATAATAACAATTTTAATTTTTGCCTTGTCAGACTCTGTGACTCTTTTTAAAATATCTTTGTTAACTTATTACTTATAATTTTCTTTGTGACAAAAAAATAACCAAACTTGAAGAATTATTTACTAAATATGTCACTAAGCCTCTTTATAAGGTGTTTAAACTTTATTGCATTGACTTTATGACAGCTACTTTAGGTTCTAAAACATTTTTCACTTATTTACAAGGTCCAAGTTGTATTACCATGGGTTGAGGGAGTGCTGGGGAAAGAGAAATTTACTTAAATACCAGGAGCTGAAAGTGAAATATTTGTTTTGAATGCTTTTCTGGAAAATCAAGATTTTTAAATGAAAGACTTAGTAAATAATAATGAACTTTACACTAACTTTGTTTAATCATTTTCAGATAAACTACAGGCCTCCCTCTAATATGGGAATAGCTATTCCACTTACAGATAATTTTTATCATGCAGATCCTAGCAAACCCATACCGAGAAATCTGTTTCACAAGTCAAAGGTGAGTATTTTTTCTGCAAATATACTGTATTCATTTGAATTCAAGAAATCATTCAGTAAAATTACAGACGGACAGACCTAGCTGTGGAGATTAAATGAGAAGGTGCATTAAGCATAATCTGCCCTGATAACATCACTACTTCTTCTCCGCCTCCCCCTCCCTCCCCCCTCCAGCTCCTCCCCCTCCCCCTCTCTCTCCTCCTCCCTCATTACTACTACTAGTACTACTACTACTGCTATCCCTGTTCCTCCTACTACTACTTTAGCCTTTTCTTCTCTTACTGCCTCTCCT